GCTCCCGTGAGTAACACAGCTCACCATGTTAGGAACTGTCTCCCTAAAGGAGGCCTGTTTAAGGGGAACACTCCCAAACTGTGACTCTTACATTGCATTCAAAAATCCAGAGACTAAAACAGGATGTTGAAGGAAGAGCTCTCAGGAGAAATCAGTAACAAACGGAAGGAAACAAAACAGGGGTCTAAAAGGAACGAATGCAAAATGTGGTTCCAGTTCAATTCTACCCTCACGTTCTGACCCCACAGGTGAGGGGTGTAGACTGTGTTACAGGCCTGCTCCTCTTGGAGGCAAGGGGGTTGGGCCTATGTACTCCTACATCACTTTTCACTACCTGTGCACAACCCTTGGGGGGTAGAAATGATGGAGGGGGCAGACTTCTGGGTGTGGTCCAACCCTAGGCCGAGAGTCAATTACCTGCAGAACAGTGTGGGTGAACAGTGTGAGCCACGAGTAGTCCGTACTCTGCACTGGCGTGTGGATCAGGGCATTTATGGAAAGGGGATCCAGATGAATATCACATATGTACCCCCTAGCTCTGCTCATGTCTATGGATTGCTCTCATTAGCCTCACTCCATGTGGCTTGCCACAAATTCTAGAAAAACCCTCAAGAGGGGAGTTAGTGCGTGGCTCCTCTGCTCCTTTACCTGACTTGCCTGGGGCACTGACCTCCATCCCCACCCCTGAGAGTCCTGAGCCCATGGTTCCTCTGTCCTCTTCAGGCTATACTACTCGCTCATCAGCGGTTGATACTGGGAATAGGATACCAAGAATGCCCCTACACATCACCTCGATGCCAAGCATCCTCCTTATGGCTCCCATAGCTCCCTTCTTTGCTTGATGATTTCATGGCACTAGAAACCCAACGGGATAAGGGGGCAGCCAGAGTTTTAATACCAATCAGAATTTTACCATGTCCCCCTCGAACTAGCTTTCGTCTCTTACAGCCATGACCCCTAGATGCACACAGCCAACAATTATGGTAGAGGGAGGCACAAATTCCCCCAAATGGATCACCGCGATGAAGATCATGGGGAAACTTCTCCTTTCACTCCAACCTCCAGATCAATGTATTCAAACAAGGGCCATGAAAGACTCTGGATATCCTGCAGTCCGTTCAACTCAGATCCCATGTACAACAGCCTGCCAACGTAGGAGTATTCCAGCTTCCCCTGGGTCAATGGCTATAGATTTTGGGGCAAGGACTAAGGAAATTCTGTGATATACACTTGCTGTGATCCTTCATCCAAGAACACTGGTCTCTCCATTGATGGGTTAATGGGTCTGAGAACAGCCTGAGGTCTACAAACTGTGTCAGGGATCACGACCTTCCATTGGGATCAATGACCTCAGCCTTTGTGTTTATATTCTTAAGCTCTTTTAAATACACCAGTGCATGTGGGCGGGCACACGCACGCACATGCACACACACACACACACACAAAGGTGCACCCTATTTGGCTGTCTATATCCTGATTTCCTTATTTACTTTTTTGCTTATTTATTATTGATTGATTGATTACAGGGGGGTGGGCAGAGAGACCGAGTACGGGTGGGGTGAGGGAGAAGCAGACTCCCCACTGAGCACGGAGCCCAACATGGGGCTCGATCCTGGCACTCTGGGACCATGACCTGAGCCGAAGGCAGATGCTTAACCGACTGAGCCAGCCAGGTGCCCCCCGGATGCCTATATCCTATTAAGAGGGACACCATGCTCTATTATCCATACCGTAAGGTCCCTGAGGGTTCCACATCATTCTGCCCCCTTGTCATTCCAATCTTGCTGCCCATCACATAATCATAACCACATTACTTCGTAGAGTTAAATGCTGCCACCTGGACTCTGCCACTCAGGGATATGATCATCCCCGTTATTCCTAGGGAGCATATTCCCGCGGACACAGCAATCCCAACACAACCTCTGACTACAGAGAATAGGCACTACTATCTCAGTGACCCTGCTGACACTGGTACTTGATGATTCCTTAACATCTTCGTAAACAGAGTGCCCCCAGATCTCTCCTAGGGAACATAGGCGGCTTGGGCTTTCTGGCTTTATGACTACATCTATTTTAGCACTTCTACTTCTCTGCACTTTTCAATTCCCCCTTTCTCACCCGTGTGTGCTGTGGTCCTAGATACATCCGTACTGGTTATCCACTCTTACGCAATATTACCTCAAAATTCAGCAGCTCAAAGCAACACTCATTTCTTAGCTTAGTTTCTATTTCACAGGGTTGCACGCAAGGCGCTGCCTGGCACTGCACTGGTCTCAGGGGAGGTCTCGACTGGGGAAGAAGCCACTGCTCACTTCACTTACGTGCTCACTGGCAGGATTCAGTTCCTTGCGGACCACGAGAGTGAGGACCTTGCTTCCTTGCTGGCCGCTGAATGGAGATTGTGCTCAGTTCTCTGCTGCGAGGATCCCTCCCACATCGTACCTGGCTTCATCAAAGCCAGTGAGAGAGAGAGAAAGGGTTGGCTTTAAGATGAAAGTCACAGTCTTTTGTAACACAACCCCTTGATGTTGCCATCTGCCATGGTTTAGAAGCAAGTGACTCGAGGGGATGGAGATAGATGAGGGGATGGAGATAGATGAGACCATGAACACCAAGAGGTGGAAAGCAACTTGTAGGCCATCTTGGAGGCTGCCTACCAGAACTCTTACATAATATTGAGTGAAAGAATCAAAACACAGTCCTGGTAAGACTTCCCTTTAAAACTATCAGAAACACATAAAACAAAACTATATACTTTAGGCATGCATACCTAGCTAATAAAACCCTAAGGAAAATAAATGAAAAGGTTACTTGAAAAATCAGCATGGTAATCATCTGTAGGGTGGAAAAAGGATTGTGCTCAAGAAAAGACATATCATATCGAGAGCCTTCTTGGGCGCAACAATGTTCTATTTCTTGACTCAAGCTTTGGGTATGCAAATATTTGCTCCATAACTATGTTTTATCTTATGCTTGTAGAGTTGATATGCTTTTCAGTTATGTGCATTTTTCATCATCTGGAAGAATTTTTAAAAATTTAGGGTGCACTGAAATGCATACTCTATTTAAGATTTAAAAGGAAAGGTTAGCTTAAGGAATGGATGGTCACCCTACCATGAAATTTAATGCTAACAGTTAAAATAAGACTTGGTACTTCACTAGTACAGCACTGACTGAACTAGTGATATATGCATCAACATTAGTGATCCTTACAGGCAGAAGCCAAGTTAATGGTGCCAAACCAAAGAGAAATTCCATATGCTGTATGAATAGTGTACAAAAACACACACACACACACGACACAGACATAGATGTAGAGTCTGCCGGATGTTCTAGATCAAAAGAGATCTATGGTAAAAGAAAACATAATGAAGCAGCAATTGCCACTAAGGCTATGGCGCAGTTTACTAAGGGACGAGTGGGGACTCTCTGGTATAATGGAAATGTTCTATCATGATAGATGTGGGGATTACACGGATGGGCTTCTGTGTATCAAAATTTGTCACTATGGAGGACTACCCGTAGGATTTTTTCAATTTCAATGTGTGTAAATTCCACCCAAACTATAAAATCAATCATCAAATGTAAACAAGAAAACGTGACTAAATTATTTACTTATGAATAAACCTACGTCTTTACCAAATTCTCATCGTGGCTAATTCGCCTTCCACACATTCCTTTTGGTTAAATTACACTACTATGAGCTCTTTTGATGTTTCTTTACATAGTATATTGCAGTTGTTTGTATGTGTGTGGGGGGGCAGTGGGGGATGCGGGGGTGCTTTCTGTAATCGAAAAGGAACAGGGAGGAACTTGATAGAGGCACTTCCTCAAAGCATGAATGAACAGAAGAAAGGAGTAGGTCTCTAAAGTGTGGCCCCTGGGCCTTCAGCATCAACAGCATCTGGGTACTCGTTAGCAATGCCAGACCTCAGGTTCCCTGTGTAATCAGAAGCTGTAGCATTTGTCCCGACATACTTAATAGGCCCTTTGGATGACCTGCGGCATGCTAAAGTTGGACTATCACTAAGTGGGGTAGACGGAGAAATAGGAACTAAATGAAGTTACATTGACTAAGATCCACTCACATTTCAAATGGATCCCCCCAAAAAACATGTGCTATAGATTTCCCAGCTCTGCAGATAAATTCTGTGGAGAGGCACCTTCTGAGCATTTGCTTTTTGCTCCGTTGAAGAGTATTTTTAATCAAGGAGGAGATAAGAATAAAAATGAGGCTAAGTTTTTCGGAATCTAAAGACCACCCAGAGAAATGCAACACAAAAATATGTGACGGCAAAGTTAACACTTAATGAACTACGAACCAGGGCAGTGACCGGAACCATACAGATAATGAATGGCCTGCCACGGTTTTAGGGTAGACAACGTGATCCAAAGACAGAAACGCCCAAGAAAACCCATTCCAGTGGCAGAGGTCAGCAACATCACACACACGTAGACAGCGGTCCCCTTCCTCATTGCTCAACAATGACCCATGAAACAGGGCCTCTTCCTCTTGTCTCATGCCACTTCCCACATGCCACACTTATGCACGTGGGATTTCCTCCCCGCTGATCATTGGAAGAAATGCACGACCAGAGATATGTTGGCCCTGATCCCATCCTGCTAGGGGATACAGGAGGGGAGAGGAAGAAATGTAATTGCAAATGCCACCTATCACATAACGGCCCTCTGCGGAGGAAGAGGAGGAGAGAGAGGTCCAGAAGATGCCGGTGGGTATGAGTCAGGAGGAAAAGCAGACCAGATGGAATGTATCACATCTAGAAAAGAAAATGTGTTTCCCATGAGTTTACACCATTACATAGACAAACACTATTGTGTCTCTGACAATTACTTAAATATTCGGTAAACAACAACAAGGAAGACGTGTGGACAAATCACCCTGGTCGGGCAGTATATAGAGGCCATGGCCCAAGGAGCCTTCCAAACTCAAGACCTTCGCTTTCCTGGAAACCCACCCAGAACCTCCACCCTCTGACACCATGGTCAACTCCTGTTGTGGCTCCGTCTGCTCTGACCAGGGCTGTGGCCAGGAGACCTGCTGCCACCCCAGCTGCTGCCAGACCACCTGCTGCAGGACCACCTGCTGCCGCCCCAGCTGCTGCGTGTCCAGCTGCTGCCGCCCCTCCTGCTGTGGTCCCAGCTGCTGTGGCTCCAGCTGCTGCAGGCCCAGCTGCTGCATCTCTAGTTGCTGCCGCCCCACCTGCTGCCAGACCACCTGCTGCAGGACCACCTGCTGCCGCCCCTCCTGCTGTGGCTCCAGCTGCTGCCGCCCCTCCTGCTGCATCTCTAGCTGCTGCCGCCCCGCCTGCTGTGGCCCCACCTGCTGTGGCTCCAGCTGCTGCAGGCCCAGCTGCTGCATCTCTAGCTGCTGCCGCCCCACCTGCTGCCAGACCACCTGCTGCAGGACCACCTGCTGCCGCCCCAGCCGTTGCTAGACCACCTGCTGCTGCCCAACCTGCTCTAGTGCTTCTGCAGCTGAGTATCCTGGCCCGCACCCCGCTGTGTCTTTCATCAACCAATCTTCTTCAGGTAGTCCAACTGTGAGCTGAATCATGAGAGGCCAACTGTCAAACCTCAGTTCCGGCGGACTTTTCAACTGAGTTGGCCTCCAGATATACTCCCCCACCACCAACGCCCTCCTCCCCGCCTCCTTCTTACTAGCTCCCTCCCAAGGAAATACAGAGCTTGAATTTTCTCTGAGATCTCTCAACCAGCATGTCATCCCAATCACACCTTTCGTTCCTGCCAGGTTTCCTCCTATGGAGATGAGGCTGTATCTTAAATAAATCTTAAAGTCTCCAGGCATACAGATCCGAAGGGCATCGTGTCTCATTATTTCTCCCTCATGAACTGTTATCCTTAGCTGTCGATCGTAGTTCTGGTGTTCCCTGCAGAAAGAGGAGTCCGCAGCAGATGACCTTAGGATTTCCACCTCTACCCCCTCAGCACTCCCCGTGCTGACATTGACCCTGGTTGTTTACAGCAGGCACCTGGAGCTCTCTGCTGAGGCTTTGTCCAGATGAGGGAGGAAGCTCTCGGCAGGCCAGAGGTAGGGAAAGTAAGTCTCCAGGAGAAGTCCTCCACCAATGGGCAGCACTTGGTGGGTAAGTGCTCTAGCCTCTTTCCCCTCGAGTGGGGCGTGTGAGACCAGAGGCCCTCAGCCAGGACTGAACCCCAGGCGCCTACAGGAGTCATCTGCTCTTGAAATCATTCTGGATTGGCTTCCACCCCTTCCCTGGATCACTTCTCGGGTTCCCTACAGCCCTTCTTGAGATCGCCTCCCAAACAAACTGCTTGCTCTCAAACCTCTGGTTTTAGACTCTGCCCGTGACGTCACCCTAACACCAGTGTTCCGAATCTCAGGATCAGCGTCTTCAAAACATTTCCATACAGTAGGAATGGTAACAATGATGCCAGCCAACTCTTGAACTTATTCTCCACTGAAGCACTGAATCTTTTCCTAGTATGCTCTTTCTTCTTACAGTTTCTGCACACTTGGTTTTAGACTATTAGCCTCCAATTTTTAAAACATCCTTCTCGGGCGCCTGGGTGGCTCAGTTGGTTAAGCGACTGCCTTCAGCTCAGGTCATGATCCTGGAGTCCCGGGATCGAGTCCCGCATCGGGCTCCCTGCTCGGCGGGGAGTCTGCTTCTCCCTCTGACCCTCCCCCCTCTCGTGCTCTCTCTCCCATTCTCTCTCTCAGATGAATAAATAAAATCTTAAAAAAAAAAAAAATAAAACATCCTTCTCTATCCTCAGGGACAGGACACGCTCCCGTGAGTAACACAGCTCACCATGTTAGGAACTGTCTCCCTAAAGGAGGCCTGTTTAAGGGGAACACTCCCAAACTGTGACTCTTACATTGCATTCAAAAATCCAGAGACTAAAACAGGATGTTGAAGGAAGAGCTCTCAGGAGAAATCAGTAACAAACGGAAGGAAACAAAACAGGGGCCTAAAAGGAACGAATGCAAAATGTGGTTCCAGTTCAATTCTACCCTCACGTTCTGACCCCACAGGTGAGGGGTGTAGACTGTGTTACAGGCCTGCTCCTCTTGGAGGCAAGGGGGTTGGGCCTATGTACTCCTACATCACTTTTCACTACCTGTGCACAACCCTTGGGGGGTAGAAATGATGGAGGGGGCAGACTTCTGGGTGTGGTCCAACCCTAGGCCGAGAGTCAATTTCTTGCAGAACAGTGTGGGTGAACAGTGTGAGCCACGAGTAGTCCGTACTCTGCACTGGCGTGTGGATCAGGGCATTTATGGAAAGGGGATCCAGATGAATATCACATATGTACCCCCTAGCTCTGCTCATGTCTATGGATTGCTCTCATTAGCCTCACTCCATGTGGCTTGCCACAAATTCTAGAAAAACCCTCAAGAGGGGAGTTAGTGCGTGGCTCCTCTGCTCCTTTACCTGACTTGCCTGGGGCACTGACCTCCATCCCCACCCCTGAGAGTCCTGAGCCCATGGTTCCTCTGTCCTCTTCAGGCTATACTACTCGCTCATCAGCGGTTGATACTGGGAATAGGATACCAAGAATGCCCCTACACATCACCTCGATGCCAAGCATCCTCCTTATGGCTCCCATAGCTCCCTTCTTTGCTTGATGATTTCATGGCACTAGAAACCCAACGGGATAAGGGGGCAGCCAGAGTTTTAATACCAATCAGAATTTTACCATGTCCCCCTCGAACTAGCTTTCGTCTCTTACAGCCATGACCCCTAGATGCACACAGCCAACAATTATGGTAGAGGGAGGCACAAATTCCCCCAAATGGATCACCGTGATGAAGATCATGGGGAAACTTCTCCTTTCACTCCAACCTCCAGATCAATGTATTCAAACAAGGGCCATGAAAGACTCTGGATATCCTGCAGTCCGTTCAACTCAGATCCCATGTACAACAGCCTGCCAACGTAGGAGTATTCCAGCTTCCCCTGGGTCAATGGCTATAGATTTTGGGGCAAGGACTAAGGAAATTCTGTGATATACACTTGCTGTGATCCTTCATCCAAGAACACTGGTCTCTCCATTGATGGGTTAATGGGTCTGAGAACAGCCTGAGGTCTACAAACTGTGTCAGGGATCACGACCTTCCATTGGGATCAATGACCTCAGCCTTTGTGTTTATATTCTTAAGCTCTTTTAAATACACCAGTGCATGTGGGCGGGCACACGCACGCACATGCACACACACACACACACACACACAAAGGTGCACCCTATTTGGCTGTCTATATCCTGATTTCCTTATTTACTTTTTTGCTTATTTATTATTGATTGATTGATTATAGGGGGGTGGGCAGAGAGACCGAGTACGGGTGGGGTGAGGGAGAAGCAGACTCCCCACTGAGCACGGAGCCCAACATGGGGCTCGATCCTGGCACTCTGGGACCATGACCTGAGCCGAAGGCAGATGCTTAACCGACTGAGCCAGCCAGGTGCCCCCCGGATGCCTATATCCTATTAAGAGGGACACCATGCTCTATTATCCATACCGTAAGGTCCCTGAGGGTTCCACATCATTCTGCCCCCTTGTCATTCCAATCTTGTTGCCCATCACATAATCATAACCACATTACTTCGTAGAGTTAAATGCTGCCACCTGGACTCTGCCACTCAGGGATATGATCATCCCCGTTATTCCTAGGGAGCATATTCCCGCGGACACAGCAATCCCAACACAACCTCTGACTACAGAGAATAGGCACTACTATCTCAGTGACCCTGCTGACACTGGTACTTGATGATTCCTTAACATCTTCGTAAACAGAGTGCCCCCAGATCTCTCCTAGGGAACATAGGCGGCTTGGGCTTTCTGGCTTTATGACTACATCTATTTTAGCACTTCTACTTCTCTGCACTTTTCAATTCCCCCTTTCTCACCCGTGTGTGCTGTGGTCCTAGATACATCCGTAGTGGTCATCCACTCTTATGCAATATTACCTCAACATTCAGCAGCCTAAAGCAACACTCATTTCTTAGCTTAGTTTCTATTTCACAGGGTTGCACGCAAGGCACTGCCTGGCACTGCACTGCTCTCAGGTGAGGTCTCGACTGGGGAAGAAGCCACTGCTCACTTCACTTACGTGCTCACTGGCAGGATTCAGTTCCTTGCGGACCACGAGAGTGAGGACCTTGCTTCCTTCCTGGCCGCTAAATCGAGATTGTGCTCAGTTCTCTGCTGCGAGGATCCCTCCCACATCGTACCTGGCTTCATCAAAGCCAGTGAGAGAGAGAGAAAGGGTTGGCTTTAAGATGAAAGTCACAGTCTTTTGTAACACAACCCCTTGATGTTGCCACCTGCCATGGTTTAGAAGCAAGTGACTCGAGGGGATGGAGATAGATGAGACCATGAACACCAAGAGGTGGAAAGCAACTTGAAGGCCATCTTGGAGGCTGCCTACCAGAACTCTTACATAATATTGAGTGAAAGAAGCAAAACACAGTCCTGGGAAGACTTCCCTTTAAAAGAATCAGAAACACATAAAACAAAACTATATACTTTAGGCATGCATACCTAGCTAATAAAACCCTAAGGAAAATAAATGAAAAGGTTACTTGAAAAATCAGCACGGTAATCATCTGTAGGGTGGAAAAAGGATTGTGCTCAAGAAAAGACATATCATATCGAGAGCCTTCTTGGGCGCAACAATGTTCTATTTCTTGACTCAAGCTTTGGGTATGCAAATATTTGCTCCATAACTATGTTTTATCTTATGCTTATAGAGTTGATATGCTTTTCAGTTATGTGCATTTTTCATCATCTGAAAGAATTTTTAAAAATTTAGGGTGCACTGAAATGCATACTCTATTTAAGATTCAAAAGGAAAGGTTAGCTTAAGGAATGGATGGTCACCCTACCTTGAAATTTAATGCTAACAGTTAAAATAAGACTTGGTACTTCAGTAGTACAGCACTGATTGAACTAGTGATATATGCATCAACATTAGTGATCCTTACAGGCAGAAGCCAAGTTAATGGCGCCAAACCAAAGAGAAATTCCATATGCTGTATGAATAGGGTACACACGCACACACACACACACGACACAGACATAGATGTAGAGTCTGTCTGATGTTCTAGATCAAAAGAGATCTATGGTAAAAGAAAACATAATGAAGCAGCAATTGCCACCATGGCTATGGCGCACTTTACTAAGGGACGAGTGGGGACTCTCTGGTATAATGGAAATGTTCTATCTTGATAGATGTGGGGATTACACGGATGGGCTTCTGTGTATCAAAATTTGTCACTATGGAGGACTACCCGTAGGATTTTTTCAATTTCAATGTGTGTAAATTCCACCCAAACTATAAAATCAATCATCAAATGTAAACAAGAAAACGTGACTAAATTATTTACTTATGAATAAACCTACGTCTTTACCAAATTCTCATCGTGGCTAATTCGCCTTAAACACATTTCTTTTGGTTAAATTACACTACTATGAGCTCTTTTGATGTTTCTTTACATAGTATATTGCAGTTGTTTGTATGTGTGTATGGGGGGGGCAGTGGGGGATGCAGGGATGCTTTCTGTAATCGAAAAGGAACAGGGAGGAACTTGATAGAGGCACTTCCTCAAAGCATGAATGAACAGAAGAAAGGAGTAGGTCTCTAAAGTGTGGCCCCTGGGCCTTCAGCATCAAGAGCATCTGGGTACTCGTTAGCAATGCCAGACCTCAGGCTCCCTGTGTAATCAGAACCTGTAGCATTTGTCCCGACATACTTAATAGGCCCTTTGGATGACCTGCGGCATGCTAAAGTTGGACTATCACTAAGTGGGGAAGACGGAGAAATAGTAACTATATGAAGTTACATTGACTAAGATCCACTCACATTTCAAATGGATCCCCCCAAAAAACATGTGCTATAGATTTCCCAGCTCTGCAGATAAATTCTGTGGAGAGGCACCTTCTGAGCATTTGCTTTTTGCTCCGTTGAAGAGTATTTTTAATCAAGGAGGAGATAAGAATAAAAATGAGGCTAAGTTTTTCGGAGTCTAAAGACCACCCAGAGAAATGCAACACAAAAATATGTGACGGCAAAGTTAACACTTAATGAACTACGAATCAGGGCAGTGACCGGAACCATACAGATAATGAATGGCCTGCCACGGTTTTAGGGTAGACAACGTGATCCAAAGACAGAAACGCCCAAGAAAACCCATTCCAGTGGCAGAGGTCAGCAACATCACACACACATAGACAGTGGTCCCCTTCCTCATTGCTCAACAATGACCTATGAAACAGGGCCTCTTCCTCTTGTCTCATGCCACTTCCCACATGCCACACTTATGCACGTGGGATTTCCTCCCCGCTGATCATTGGAAGAAATGCACGACCAGAGATATGTTGGCCCTGATCCCATCCTGCTAGGGGATACAGGAGGGGAGAGGAAGAAATGTAATTGCAAATGCCACCTATCACATAACGGCCCTCTGCGGAGGAAGAGGAGGAGAGAGTGGTCCAGAAGATGCCGGTGGGTATGAGTCAGGAGGAAAAGCAGACCAGATGGAATGTATCACATCTAGAAAAGAAAATGTGTTTCCCATGAGTTTACACCATTACATAGACAAACACTATTGTGTCTCTGACAATTACTTAAATATTCGGTAAACAACAACAAGGAAGACGTGTGGACAAATCACCCTGGTCGGGCAGTATATAGAGGCCATGGCCCAAGGAGCCTTCCAAACTCAAGACCTTCGCTTTCCTGGAAACCCACCCAGAACCTCCACCCTCTGACACCATGGTCAACTCCTGTTGTGGCTCCGTCTGCTCTGACCAGGGCTGTGGCCAGGAGACCTGCTGCCACCCCAGCTGCTGCCAGACCACCTGCTGCAGGACCACCTGCTGCCGCCCCAGCTGCTGCGTGTCCAGCTGCTGCCGCCCCTCCTGCTGTGGTCCCAGCTGCTGTGGCTCCAGCTGCTGCAGGCCCAGCTGCTGCATCTCTAGTTGCTGCCGCCCCACCTGCTGCCAGACCACCTGCTGCAGGACCACCTGCTGCCGCCCCTCCTGCTGTAGCCCCACCTGCTGTGGCTCCAGCTGCTGGCGCCCCTCCTGCTGCATCTCTAGCTGTTGCCGCCCCTCCTGTTGTGGCTCCAGCTGCTGCCGCCCCTCCTGTTGCTGCCCCTCCTGCTGCCTGCGCCCAGTCTGTGGCCGGGTCTCCTGCCACACCACTTGCTATTACCCCACCTGTGTCATCTCCACCTGCCCCCTTCCCATGTACTGTGCTTCTTCCTGCTGCTGAGTCTCTCTGCGTATAATTTTTGTGACATATTAATGTCTTCAAATTCTCACATAATGCGTTAGCGCCAGCCAGTGACTGGTGAATGGAGTCTTATCCGCCAACTCATCTTCTTATTGGCATTCAGCGTTGGCATTCCGTTCTAGCAAGTGACAGATTAAAACAACTGTCAAATGATTTTTAACCCCCGCCCAAATGCATCTATTTTCAGGCCAGCAATATCTTCATCCTATGTATACACGACTCTGATGATCTTACATGACATTGTTTTCATATGTCCTAAATAAACAGCCATTTCTACGGATATTAAAATCTCCCAGTTTGTTAATGATTTACCATGTGCATGTGTGTATATGCGTGTGTCTTTATGTATCACCTCACACCAAAGTACATCTTGCTTTAAATGCAGGAGAACATGTTCAAGAGCAGTTACTTACAAGACTCTACTAGGCATTCATTGTATGACATGGTCAAAATTGCTTAACCTCTCCAAGCCTCAGTTTGGTTTCTCTGAGAAATGGGGACAATACACCATGTTCCTCAAAGGTCCAAAGACATAATCCATGCAATATAGTTGGCACAGGGTGGGGCATGTAATGTAAGCTCTCAATAAATATCTCTTTTTTTGGTTATTTTTCTTGAAACACTACCCCGGACTAGAATACTATCTTAGCATAGTATTGTCTTTGATAAAACAAAGAAAGGTTGCAAAATTGTTTTACTGTCCTCTGTAACTCAAAATTAAGTTTTAGTATATGTCTCAAATGTCCCTTTTAAAAACACTAGTGAGCTGAACATCATAAAGTCATCTAAATTTCACTTGACTATATTTCTACTTCCAGTATGTTCCATTATTGGTTGTGCAAATATTGGGTGTTCTACTTAGCTCAAGTACTCTCTCCTCCTTCCTTCCCTCCTCTACCTTCCTTCCCCCTTTTCTCTCTAAGCATAAAAACTCTCTTTTAGAATATGAAGTATACCTTCTAAATCCAGATTTCTGGAAATCTATGAAGTCCATGGCAACCTTTCCATAAATATTTTAAAACTTTTCATTAATAGAATGTTTAAAATTTTAGTATTTCTAGACTGAAAGTCTATATTTTTTCAGTCTTATGAAAACTCTCATGTTACTGAAGTTTCTCATCTTCTTGATGATTTTTTTTTCACTTTGGGCTTTTATCACCTTGCCTGGTTTTAATTAAGAGAATATGCACAGGGTATTTCTTTGAGACAGTTTTCTCAGCATCCAGACTCAGGTAATAATGATCCTCCGTAGTTGAGAAAATGTGCCACAATATATATGATAATATCATGTTTATATAAATATAAGGGTCTATAAATTTTGGTTCATAATCTGAAGTATAGTGAAAACATTTTAAATTCAAATTGTGCATACATCAGTTTTATCTATTAGCTGTGTTATATTTCCCAAAACTTTAACAAGTGTAATTAAGGGTTATTATTTCTAAAATTAAAAAAAAGTTATAAGGTATAAGAGACAAACCAGATAAGAGTTGATATAAAATGGGGCTCACCCCAACACAAGTTGGGTATCATATTCTTAGCATATCCTAGAAATGTCCGGTAGACATTTTCAGCTTCACCTTTCCAACTAATTCTGAAATGTTCTACAGAATACAGCCCTGTTTATTCACACACTAGAATTAACAAATCTTTTATCCTCCCTTATGTTCCTCCTTGATAACTAGTAATTATAGGATGCAGGCTCTCATTTTAATGTTATGCTTTATTAGCTAGAGCTGAATCAAAGAATGTAGGTTTTATACTGCTTTTTTCAGTATTGAAGTATCTGAGGCTTATAATTTCCTGTTTTTATAACGAGAACTGGGTCACAGCAGGAACAAGATAACACTCTGAATCTGTGTAATAAAAGGACTATTTACAAAGGTGTAGACAGAGCTTAGGGAAAGCAATAAGGAATAGCTCAATACCCAGGGCTCATAATAGCAAGGAGCAGTTACCCTATGCCTGAAGACCTCTGCAAGGATTTGAGTGAAGTAGTCAAAGGGCAGCATGCCAGACTTCTTAGAATTACTACATACAGGCACTCAATGTACATTAATTTCCATTAGAGAGAGTTACAGTGCTCTAAAAGATCCAAAAGTGATACCAGAGATAGTGTGGCAGAGGAAACCAAGGTAGAAACAATTATGAATGGGAAAGTGTGGCTTTGGTCCCATTGACTTTACCTGAACACAGAGTTGGGACGATTTTAAGTGAATAGAGCATGGACTAAGTCTGCCCTTCATCCAGTTTTATTTGGCCGTGTTAAATATGTACCACTGGAATTGCTCAAACCCTCCTAGGTAGTAAACTCTAAACAAAACTGAATTCCAGAAGAGCAACAAGAAATGACTGTTCTGATGAAGGAGATAGCTGAAGGGAGCCTTGTAATCCCCACAAACCCTTTTAACAGTCCTATCTGGCCAGTGTATGGGAAGACAGTTCCTGGAGGTTAACAGCAGACTCCTGGTGATTAAACAGCTCTTTCCTCCAGTTGCTTCAGTTGTAACTAATATATTAGAACTTTATAGGAGGCACAACAAGCCTAGCCAGACTGTTATGCCATCCCAGACTTGCCTACTGCATTCTTTTCCATGCCAGCTTCAGGTTCTGCCAGGTGCAATTTACATCCTCATGGCAGAGAACCAAGTATAGATTTACTGTTTGGCTACATGGATGTTTGAGTTCACTAGCATATTGTCATAATGTAGTGATGCTGACTTGGACTTGATAACCATTGAGAGCAAGTTAATACTACACATTGATAATTGTGGCATTCATGTGTGAAAAATCATCAATGAATTTGAAAAAGCAAGTCCAGAAACAGACTCAAATACATAAAGAAATTTAGTATATGAAAAGGTGGCATCTTAAATCAGTAGGGGGAAAAGATATATTGCTTAGTAAATGGTGTTAGCTTATGGTCATAACAAACTTAAAAACATTTAAACCTCACATCTTGTAATCCCGATGGATTAAATACTTGAAAATATAAAACATGAAACTTTGAACAGAAGAAATTATGAAACAGTGTTTATGCAAAATTACAACTGGAAAGGACTTTCAAAGTATGACACCAACCCAGAAGCCATAAAAAATTAATAAATTTGACTATATCAAAAGTAAACATCTGCATGGCAAAAACCACATAAGCAAAGTCAAAGAAGAAAGACAAACTAGGAAAAATATTTGAAATTCGTATTATATAAAAAGGCTAATTTTTAGCCTTTTATGCTTCATATAAAGAGTTCCTGCAAAAAGCAATGTATAAAGGCTAAACTCAGTAGAAAAACATAAATTACAGGCAATATAGAAAATTTTCTATAATTTTTTCTTATAGAAAAGGATATACTAATAGCCTGAAACATCTGAAGAGCTGCTCAATCTCACTTAAAATAAGGAAAATGAAATTAAAATCACATAGAGAGGGGAGGTTGTGGGGGATGGGCTAAATAGGTGATGGGTATTTAGGAGGGCACTTTTTTTTATGTTATGTTAATCACCATACATTACATCATTAGTTTTTGATGTAGTGTTCCATGATTCATTGTTTGCATATAACACCCAGTGCTCCATGCAGAACATGCCCTCTTTAATACCCATCACCAGGCTAACCCATCCCCCCACCCCCCTCCCCTCTAGAACCCTCAGTTTGTTTTTCAGAGTCCATAGTCTCTCATGGTTCCTCTCCCCCTCCAACTTCCCCCGCCATCATTCTTCCCCTCCTGCTATCTTCTTCTTCTTCTTCTTTTTTTTTAACATATAATGTATTATTTGCTTCAGAGGTACAGATCTGTGATTCAACAGTCTTGCACACTTCACAGCGCTCACCATAGCACATACCCTCCCCAATGTCTATCACCCAGCCACCCATCCCTCCCACCCCCCACCACTCCAGCAACCCTCAGTTTGTTTCCTGAGATTAAGAATTCCTCATATCAGTGAGGTCATATGATACATGTCTTTCTCTGATTGACTTATTTCGCTCAGCATAATACCCTAGGAAGGCACTTTTAATGAGCAATGGGTGTTATATTAAGTGATGAATCACTAAATTCTACTCTTGAAACAAATATTACACTATATATTAACTAACTAGAATTTAAATAAAAATTTGAAAAAGAAAAAAAAGTCACCTAGAGAAACTTTTTCACCTATCATATTGACCAAGATTAATGATAGACAGGTGTCTACATACATAAATATGTATCTCTATATATGTATCTATGTATTTGTGTATCCTGCGTATCATTGCATTAATACAAATGGGGAAAGACAAAACATTCACACATCGCTGATAGATGTGTAAATTGGTACAATCTCTATTGAAGGTGAAGCTGGCATTATCTAATAAATATTATAAACAAATGTATACTCCTTGATCCAGCTATTCTATTTCCATAGGAATTTATTCTACAGAAAACACTCACACATGTGAAATTATGTATGAACAGACTTATTCATTGCAGCATTGTATGTAATCTCAAAAGACTAAAAGCAAACTAAATATCCAACAGCGGAAAAAGAATGGCAAAGTGGTATATATATACTATCTGAATGCTTCATGTGAAAAAGCAAAGCAGGAGGACCATGACTGATGTACTACCATTTGTATAAATGAAAGAAATGAATAAATATTCTTATTTGTTTCTTATGTATTAAATATCTTCAGAATGAGTAAAAAAACCTGGAAGTTCTGGCTGCCTTCGAGGGGGGACCCTAGGTGACTGTTAAGAAAGGTGGGAGGAATACATGTGAAAAAATGATATTCAAAATGTTTAAATTAAATTTTAAAATATAAAAGATGCAAAATACAAAAGCATTTCACCAGAAACTAGTTTTTTGTTTTGTTTTTACCCTCCACTTCTTCCCTATCCAAGGCAATGGTAAGCAACATTTAAACTATTCCTACACTCCTTCTAAAGGAGATTGTTTTCTTTTCATGTCTTAGCAATGCTGGTGTTGCCAAATCTCATATG